AGAATCTGAGAAATTGCAGCCCATCATCATTCTGTAGCAAGCCTCAACCGCGCCATATGCTTAATCCCTATAGCGGACTGACTGCGATTGTCCAAGATCAGCGGTATATCTTCTTTAATCAATGCTTGCCTGGTTGTATTAATACCACAAAGTATACGAACATGAAAACAACGAAGTACTCGGGAGCTGTTAAAGATATATCGATCAAAAACGACACGGATTGTTGGCCGTATCGAAAACAATCAACAATGGTGAAGCTCAGCCGGACGAGTGTTAAAAACCTAAACACAACGTCTCCGTCATCTTTAAAGATTAAAGAGACACAGGATTCAGGTAAACACCATGTTTTAGAATGTGAAAACATTATACGCTCCTTTTCAATAAAATAATTTGTTTAGATATCCACGCGTAAAAACGACAACCTGTTCCCGGTTGATATCGACAGGCTTGAACAAAATTGCATGCTGCACCCTAAGAACAAGTTGTCCACAATATTGTTACAGCATTGTTACAATTGAGCAATGATGTAACAACATTGTTACAACTGACCAATGATGTAACATCATTGTTACAACTGAGCAATGATGTAACAACATTGTTACAACTGACCAATGATGTAACAACATTGTTACAACTGACCAATGATGCAACAACATTGTTACAACTGACCAATGATGTAACATTGTTACAACTGACCAATGATGTAACAACATTGTAACAACTGATCAATGATGTAACAACATTATTACAACTGACCAATGATGTAACAACATTGTTACAACTGACCAATGATGTAACAACATTGTTACAACTGACCAATGATGCAACAACATTGTTACAACTGACTAATGATGTAACATTGTTACAACTGACTAATGATGTAACAACATTGTAACAACTGACCAATGATGTAACAACATTGTTACAACTGACCAATGATGTAACAACATTGTTACAACTGACCAATGATGCAACAACATTGTTACAACTGACCAATGATGTAACATTGTTACAACTGACCAATGATGTAACAACATTGTTACAACTGACCAATGATGTAACAACATTGTTGACAATTCTGTGGGTGAAGCAACTGGATATCAACTGGAAACAGGTTGTTGGTTTGGAACGGATAAAACTATCCAGCATAAATAAAGTTAGTTTAGATTAGTTTTTATACTGTATCATTCCTGAGATTAATGCTTAGCAACTATAACCTAACATTACTTTTCCAATTTCATTTCAGAGTCAGAAAGCGGTGTATTGATTTATATTGCTTCACCAAAAGTATTCCTGGTCGCGCTTGTTCTATCTGTGATACTGGTGTCGATATTAATTGTGGATTTCAACCTCTGCCACCGCAAGAAAGGAATAATGTATTCAGTACTGAGCTGTAGAAAGGACATGAAAGATAACGCATGCTCTGATTGTGCTGAACGACAGAAGAAAGTCATTGAAATTGTTTAAAATGGAGGATGGTTAAAAGCATGGGAACAAATCTACTCGTAACATGGGTCCCCCAAAACGCCATCACGCCTGTGCATGATGGGATAATGCATGGTTAGTCCCTCATGGGTAGTGATCGTCTCACCCCTCGGGAAATGTTGTGTCCCAAAGGGAATGTGAAGTGAGTGAAAGAAACAGAATGGAAAAGTTACTGAAGCCCCCTGTGAAGTTCTCATGTTGCCCCCCCCCCCATCCACCTGGTCAGTGGGTGTGACCCCCTCACCATCCCACAGAAAACCAGACCCCCGGGAATAGTAAGGATAAGAATGTATGTCGAGTGTGTGAATGCTGCCCCTTATCCCTCACTTTTGAAAGTGTCAGGCCGCCCAGGAATTTTACACCAACGAAAAGTTTTGAGAATGTTGTATCTTGGTATCCCCCTCAGTCCTTGTTGGTCCCCGACAGGATTTAGGACCTCAGGCTTTATCCAGCCAGAGCCTCCCCCCTCCCTTTTAGACAGGAAAATTATAGGCTGCGAGTAAAGAAAGGAAAGGCATATTGGGATTTCTCGAGAGACCTCTCTCAACAAATTATGGCCTGACAATCGAAAAGAGAAGGAAAGAAAGCAGCGAAAGAATGAATGTTGTGTCAATTTAGACAATATGTTTTGCTTATTAAAATAACTAATGCTATTAAACTCAATTAAAATTTTGCAAAAAGTAATTTTAGGTTTAGAATGTACTAAAGGCCATATCATAACACGAGGGAATTTTTGCTGCAACTTGCAACCCAATTTCGAAGATATGAAAAATGAGAAAATGAAAGAAATGGGATGAAAAATTCCACAGGGTTAACTGTGAGCCATGCTCACAATTTTATTTTTATTTTTTTATTTTATCAGCTTTATTGGACAAATATAGTAGAAACATTTACAAGTTTAAGTCCAAAGGGGAACTGAGACTCCGTTTTAGATTACATCAGTCTATGTCAGAAATTGCGTTGAAAGTAGCAGCAAAACTTGCCTGGTGTAATATGACCTTATAAGACAATTGGAATAGACAATGTTCCACTTAATTAATACATACATTAATAATTAGTCAGTTTAAAATGCATGCGATTAGTCTAATCAATTAACACCATATATGTGTTCACGTTTATTTAATTAGGCAAATTAGAGCCTTTTTAATTAATACCAAACATACTTATTTACTCGTGTATTTATGTGGGCTAATAATTACGGTAATTCTAATTAGTTAATAGTTAATGTGGCAGTATTTGATGAGAGCAACCTGATGTATTCGTATGTTATGTTATGATAATTGTCTCATTATACGAAATTATGCTGTTGCGTTGTTGAAGTTGTCAAAAATTAAGATAGACTTTCAATAAATTTTGAATAATTTTATACAAGGCGTTTTCTTTTTTGTGTGGTAAGTTTTCCAATTTCGAAGTAAAAACTGCTGAATTAAAATTGCTGGATTAGAGTTAGGATTGATGCGCGAATCAAACGAGAGAGGATGAGAGTTGGGCATAGATATCTTATATACACTAGATAGTGCATCTAGTTATTCTGCAATTCAAAAATTGAAGCCGTGATTGCAGTCTCAGGTCGTTCCCATGAAATTAGAAGATTCGTATGTTTCCTATTTCTTAAACAGGGAACTTAAACATTAAGTTAACCCTATTCCAAATTCGTTTTTAAAATATTCAAATGATGAAAGTTATTGTTGTTTTAAGCGCTTATTAGCAAGTGGGAACGACCAACATGGCGCTATCTATTCAAATGGGGGTAACCGCTGGAATATTCTTGGCTTCAATTTTACTAAAAGAGATGCGCTATCTAGTGTATATAAGATATCTATGGAGTTGGGTCACTTGGCCTTGGTTGCTTACAATGCTTTGTACCTTTTGTATTCAAGTTAAAACATAGTTGGACCTTTATTTTGTTAATCTAGGGACTAGGGGTTGAAATGTCCCCCGTAATAATACCTTTAGGATAACCCTAGCGCGCATGTAAACGCAACGCGCAAACGCAATAGAATAGGCTAACCCGCTTTATACTGGTGCAAACAGGCGCTTAGTAACAGATATCAAGGTTAGAACTGTATTTAAATGGGGGTTGTTAATATAGAAATTGACTAAGAACTGACTAAGAACTGCGCTATTAATATCAATGCTTTCCACCGATGTTTCTCGATCTTTCGCGCAAAATGTTACGGCACTTAACCGCACCTCTAAATTATTCAAGTAGCTACTTCCGAAACATGTTATAATAAGAAACTGTTTGAAATGGCTAAGGACAAACGGAAATACTGACAGGTTGAAAAACGAAATAATTTAGCGTTGATTTGTTATCATTCAATCATGTTAACTCGATTAACATTATAAGGTGTCATTCAATGTTTATAGTGTATTGGTACTCTGGTGGATGTCAGTCAGCTTTCCAGGGCAGCAGATGGTGCTCAACTTCACAAACATCGACATTTATAAAAGAAAATTCAACCATTATAGATTTCTCCACTCGACTGATCTGCCTCCAAAGATATGGAGGAATCAAACGAATTAAAATGGCATTTTTCACTCTCCCAATGACCAACACGAATTAGAATTAGTAAATTTCTATACATTTTTAAACTTAATCTAGAGCAGTTGGTAAAAATGCGACTATAGCCGCTCTGACAGGCCCCGTAATTCTTGATATTTACCCTTACAATGAAACCCAACTACTGTTACTACAAGTGATTTTCTAACATACCGTAAACGTCTGAATATAAGCCCTGCGCCGATATATAAGCATCTTTGATGGGCTTATACATGAGAGCTTATGTACGGGAGGGGGCTTACATACGGACGACACTTGATATTAGTAATATTTATTGTACCTGTAAAATATACCGTGAACGAAAAGCAATATAAACATGCAGCATTTAACACATAATATCGTCAACAAGCTTTCGTTGGTAAGAATGCAACTGCCTGTAAAAAATAAGGTAAGAAGAATGTCGGCGTTTTAAGCGAAAACCATTCGTTCGAAACTTCGAAATTCTCCTTATATTTTTCAGGGAGTTGCATCCGTACTATAAACGAAAGCTTGTTCATTGCCACTACCAACACTGGCACAGACACTTCAAGATTATCTATAGTCACTCAACTGAGCTGCTGCATGGACAGGGTTCGTAGTCTCCAAGACCAAAACAATTCAAAGACTGTCAAAGATTTTTTCTGCCTATTTATTAAGACTTTTCAAAGCCCTTTGAGAGCAATCAGCTGTCGAAAAATTGCGAGTATAAGCCTGGTGCAAGCACCATTTTTACACAGTAATTAGTCCAGTCAAATCACATCCTAAAACGCGCCTTTTTGTCGATATTTGCGAAATTCTTGCTTCAATCAATCTATTTTATTAGCTAGAAAATCGTATAATCAATTGCTCACAAAATAATTTAAAGACTTTTTAAAGACTTTCTTCGCTTTTTCGCACAATTCAAAGACTTTTCAAAGACCTGCATTCAAATTTAAAGACTTTCAAGGATTTCAAAGACCGCTACGAACCCTGATGGAATCCTCGTCGCTGCTTAATAAATACCTGTCCAATAATAAGGTTCATGGGCTTATACACGAAAGGGCTTATATTTGGGAGGGGGGGGGCTTATGTTCGGAATGGCCTGAGCGTTAGTGAGTGTGGGAGTTTAACAAGGTGAGGCGGGTAAATCCGCGATAAACCGGAAAATTTTTTTTTTTTTTAAACCGATATTGTTCTGGGCAAAAAAACGAAAAACAGGAAAAACTTTTTGAAACTAAAAAAACAAAACGTGAGAAAATAGCACGCCTAATCCGTGAACTTTAGCTTTTACTAAGTCTACTCACCACAGATAATTGCAGGAATATATGCAAGTGACGTGATAGACTTGCCTAAAAAAAGAAAAAATAACATACTGTTTAAACTAACTCAACAATTAACAAACTAACTGACCAACTAAGAGGCAGTTCATATGAGCCGAGCTCGGATAGCAGGGATGAATCGTGTGACAAAAATACTTTCCTAACCATAAAATATCATTTGCCGGATAAACTTTATACTGGAATCAGTCTAAGCTATAATTCAACTTTGAAATGCCATTTTGGATGATAGCTTGGCCAGCCAACTCCATACAGCGGAGCAGCCCGGGCTAACCCTACACACTCACGATGCATGCAAAGGCGTATCCCACTCATTTAATATCAATTAACATGTCTGCATAACAACATGCCCATAACTAAGAATTTAAATACAGGCCAAGCGCCGAAATCCACAATTTGTTTGATTTTCAAAGCTTAGAAATGCCATGTCCTCCATCTGAGATCAGTTTTGGCATGAATCTCGTAAACACAACGACTAAAATTTTATAGTTAATCTCCACAATCCGAAGAATGACAAATATTCTTGCCTCCCACGCTTGTTATTGGAGTACCTGTACACCCACATCAGCCTCACAGTACGCCAATGTTGCCAATGTAGGGCAAGAAGGAATGCTCCGTTCTCGCTTGGAGAAAACTACACTCTTTCATTGAACTTGTCTTTCTGTTGTAAATCTCTCACAAAAAATCTTACCGAGTTAACTTAATCTGTTGAAATATAGATGAAGTTGACTCGACTTAATCTGTTGAAATATAGCCTGAATTTGAGCCGGTCATTCAAAATCGTGAGCTGAAACTTGGGCTATAGTTTAAATACTGTTATTCCAAGCCAAACATGCATAAAAAACTGAAACCAAAGAAATGTCATTCATTTCCTTTACTTTGTGAATATATTCTATAAAAAGTCAAAACAATTCCAAGCACGTATGCACTATATAATGCTGAGTCAAATTGCTTTACAGTTTTGCATAACATAGCGAAGCCATATCGAACACCCTTGAAACAAACTTGAAAAACAACGGCGAGCTTCCGGTTAAATACCAACAAAAATAAATACAAAAACCGACAAATTATAGAACTATTACAAGTGAATGTTGTTGTTTAAAGTGCGGTGCTCTATATAAATA